ATATTTTCTTCTTTTTCTGCAACATTTATTTATTTTTCTGATTTTTAAATAGGACTTCTGCAAACGAAACACCCCTGGAACTTTGCATACAGTGCCGTTTGCCAGATGTTGTTGAATCCCTCTGCTCTCGAGGTGTCGATATGTCTATTCCAGACAGGGATGGCTGCTGCCCTCTGTGGGCTGCTTTAGCATCAGAGCAAGAAGATATTGCTTCAATTTTAGTTAGGTAAGTCTCGCTTTGTTACTTTGCTCTATCCTCCATGTTTTAGAACATCTTTTAGTTCAGTTTTTCTTTTTTATATGTACAGAAACGGTGCAGACACTGACTGTTGGGGTGCTGGGCCTGATGGTTGTCTGCAGTCGCTGCTCCACAAAGCTATAGATGATAACCAGCAGAGCATTGCAAATTTTTTAATCAGATCAGGCTGTGATCTGAACGCCCCTCGTCGCCCTGGACCGAGTGGAGTAGGAGGTGACGAGGCACACGACCTTCAAGGACCATTGCATTTGTGTTGTTCATGGGGTCTACAAAGCACTGTACAAACATTAGTGGAACATGGAGCCAATGTTAATGCCAAGGTGCTTGCCTCCTCTTTTGAATTGCGTTGGCTCCGAAAAAAACAAGCGTAACACTGCCAGTGCCGGAGAACAAGAGTAACTGGGAGCAGCGCGGAGAACTCGAGTAACTCCCTATCTAAATAGCCAGGCGTTACTCGAGTTCTCCGCGCTTGTGCCAGTTACTCTTGTTCTCCGGCACTGGCGGAGTTACGCTTGTTTTTTTCGGAGCCAACGATGGTGCTGCCTTTTCTGAAGCAGCCATTGTTCAATTTATGATTCCTTGTTACTTGTTTATCAGGATGCAGACGGTCATACACCTCTCCATATTGCAATTCAGAATCAACACCCCTCTATTATAGCCCTTTTGCTCTGTCACCCCAACATTGATTTGTCGATCAGAGACAAGACTGGACTTTCGCCGTTTGCATCAGCTTTGACTGTCCGCAACCATAAAGCAGCAGAGGCAATTCTGGATAAAATGCCTAATGCAGCTGAACAGGTACAAACTTTTATATTCCATTTTAAAGGTTATATTTTTAGGAAAATGTTTAGGGATCTATCTAATTAACCTCACCTGCTCAAACATACACAATGACACAAACTTACATGCATACACAATTTAATTTTTTTCCATCTATGATGTAAACGATATTGTAAGGCTTCATTATTGGGATAGGTACAAGTGTAGTTAACATGTAACATAACTTTAAATTTTGTATTTGCAGACTGACAACAAAGGGCGTAATTTCCTGCATACTGCCATCCAACGAAATGATTCAGAGAGTGTTCTGTTTTTGCTCTCCATCAATGTGGATGTTAATTCTCGAGTCAATGATGCAACTCAGACTCCACCTCTGCACCTAGCTGCTGTCACGGGGAATGATGTGCTTGTTCGGAGTTTATTCTTAGCTGGAGCAAGGGTAATTTCCCCTTGCAGCTCTGTCCTCCTTTGTTGTTAAATGTAAACTGAAACTAAATTCATCTAATTATTATTTCCAGCCCAATGATGTTGATGCTCACAAAAGAAATGCTCTTCATGTTGCATCAGAGGCTGGCCATGCCAATATTGTTTCAGCTTGTCTATCTAATGGTGTGGCTTATGACGCTGTGGATTCTGCTGGTGACTCTGCATTGCATATTGCATGCAGAGAAGGACATCTGCAAGTTGTACGTACTCTTTTAGAAGAGTCCCAACTGAATGCAGAGACTATGAACCTTAAAGGTCAAAATCCTCTTCATGTGTTAGCTCGACATGGCAAGGATAACTCAGCTGCAATTTGTGAGCTTTTCCTCGAATTCATGCCAGATTACCCAATAAATAAACCAGATCTAGATGGAAACACAGGTATAATTTTTTCCTCAGTAATTTTGTTGTTAAGTTACTGTGAATATGTATCTGCTTTTGACAATCTTTGCCATGTCAGAATATTAACTAGTATTGTCTGATTTCAGCACTGATGTTAGCTTACATGAAGGGCAATGGGAATCTTTGCCGTGCTCTTGTGAAAGCGAAGGCTTGCATAGGATCTATGAACAAGGATGGTGTCACAATCTTTAATTACCAAGTGACCACGAAGCAGCTGCTTTACAGGTCATTTACCTAATCAAATACTATTTCTACCCAACTTAATTTCCTTTGTTGTCAACCCAAACATATGTAATGTTATTTGGTTTCAGTCTGCTTAATCAACTCTCTGAGGAACCTCCATGGGCAGAAGGGGATATATGCTTGGACTGTGGTACAAAGTTTGGTTTCACTGTTCGTAAGCATCATTGGTAAGCTTCATTAGGGTAATTAAACACTATTTGAGTTACATTCACCATACATGTGTCTTAATTTATTTTACATCGTACTCTTTCAGCCGACACTGTGGAAGAGTTCTATGCAGTAATTGCTCTGGTCAAGATGTCCCTATTTTGAAATTCAATCAGAAAAAACCTGTCAGAGTATGCTCAGTTTGTTTTGACTTTTTACAAGTTGGATCTTCATAAAATGCATTCCCTGAAATTGAAGAATAATTAAGCCCAATCTCTTTTTCCAAGAGTCAGTATCAGTTATGTATTATTAGTCCATAAAAGAAAGAGGCAACAGAATGTGTTATGTGATATAATAATGATTTTGCAGTATTTGCTCAGTCTGTTATAGTTTTAGATCATTCTCATTCTTAACACTACATAACTATGTTTTACTATCTACTTATATGTCTTGCATTTACTCCATCAAATCTTTAGAACTGTATGTTTTACACACTGGTGTTACTTTGATTTGATTGTTTCAATTCAGCAATATTGTTACTGGTGCTGAAAATGAATGTAGATAATTTTCTACCAATGCTCAACTAAGGGCTGGGCCATGTTGTTGTCTACAATAATTCAAATGCTTAATGTTTTTGTTAAGCTCATAGAAAAGGTATGTGTATGAACAGCACAAAATCAGCAGTCTTACAAGTTGAGGGTAGATTTTATACTGAGGTAAGTGCCATGATTAGTCTCACATGTCTAATGTTTTTGTCAAATTAAAAACAAAAACTTTTCTAGTTTGGAGGACATACTCGTGCTTACAACCAAAGGTTATTATGTCCATTCATGTGCTTTTTCTTTCACAAGATGTGGACATCAGTTGTTAAGTTTATGAATGCTTTAAGCTTTTCTGCATGTTTTTGTTTGTACCTGTAAGCATATATTTATTTTTAAATATATATTTTTACTACAATTGATTGTTTACTGTCTAATCAATTTTAGATCAGACTGAGAAATTATTACCAATATGTGTCTAGAATAGTATTTGTATTAAAATGTTACCTAAATCATTGTGCATCCAATCACTTTTTGGCACAGCCAGAATTCAGTACCCATTACCCAATTCCAGTTGGCACACTATTAAAGAAAATGGTTAAGGATAATACATACTATAGAATAGACCAATATCTGATTGTGTAATTTGAGAAAGATGTAGGAATATCAATGACATCAATTATTTATTGTTTGATAACAGGAAATTACAATTGCAGCACCATGTCAATGCATGAATCTTGCTTAAAGAGAATCAACAAAATGAAGAATTAAAAGGTTTGAAGACCTCAATAAAAGAGTTTACATGAAGATTGCACTGTACACATTTTAGCTCTGGGTCTTCCCCAATAGCCCTTTCAACTAAATACAAAATTATGTTTCTACTTCAACTGCTTAAAAAGATCGTGAGATACGCAATGATCAACACAGTGGAACCAATCGTAAACTTCCTCGGCACATGTTTCAGCTGTCTGCTTTTTGCTATTCACCCTGTTGTTACATTCTTCAAGTCTCTCCTTAAGAGCAACACATTTGGGCTTCAGCCTGCACTTTTCCTGGAAAATTGAATAATAATTATAATTAAGAGCCCACGAGAGGTTCAAAAGAGTAGCAAGAAACAAAATGAGAAATGTCTAAGGTGATAGCGACAGCTAGCAGAAAGCTATTCTATGTTCGATGTCGATTTAGAATAACAAGAAGTGACACACACCAAAATAGAGCGAACAATAGGTATTGTATTCTCGTTCAAATTTTCAAAAGTAAAAATTAAATAAAGTTACTGTAGAACGCGGACCACATATTACTAAACCAGGTAACCTATTGAGGTTAGGAATGCGAACCTTCATAATCACAGATCACAAGACTTTGGCATGGATGTGTGAGAAATCATTAGAATGTACGGCAATATTTGCAGTTAACTTACCTTTAAGGTTTCCTGGGGGTCAACAATATCTTCATCTTCTGCCTGTGCCTGAGCCTTCACCAGAAATCGGCTGGCAAAGAAGTTCCCGAACCAAGACATGCTGTTCTGAAATTAAGGAAATGGTCCAGGACTACTAATTAATATAACTGAAATACGAAAGACGGTTTATAAGTCGGAAACAATCAGAATCATCCTTCAATATCAACATTTACCTTGATATTCCTTCAAACGCGAGACGACAAACGACCCTCAATCTTGAAAGTCCTTCCTTCCGTCTGCTATTCAGTCCCTCTTCTCCTCTCCTCCCTCCCTCTTCCTCTCTTCGCTTCTTCCCGGGCGTTCGCAAAGCGGTCGAAAATGGTCGCATTGGCACAGAAATGGCTTAACCTAGGTCCCTAGGTTTAACTTGAAAACTAACGAAATAAATGCATTGCCCACATGTAAGAAATCCGCGATAATTTGACATCATACTTGACGTGAAGCCTAAGTCACAAAAGCAGCATTGCATGACGGCACTGTTTTGAGGAAACAGCAAAGCAGCAAAGCTGTACGGGCCGACGGCAACGGCAGTGTTCCAAGGAAACAATGTTGAAGCGGCCGAAGTCGTGGTCGTTGCAGCATTGACCTGATAGAAATGTTCAAATATTTTATTTTGGGTATGTATTTTGAAGAATTTTGTTCAGGAAAACGAATGGAGTAAATAAGCAATTCGCTTGACGTCAGTCTGCTCCGTGCAGCCTGACCAAGGGGCGACAGATCAACACTGTTCAGCGAGAAAAGTAAGTATACTCAAAATTCCTAAATATACTAAATCACTCATAAGTAAAGCTTGTTGTGATAGGGTCATTAGTTTTATTTTTATCTATGTTCATTTATTTCACACAAATATAATTCAGTTATCTTCAAAACAGCTGTAATAATGGGAATTGTAGCTACTCTAAGTGTAAAATGACATAATTTCATTGGTTTATTTCAAGATGACCTGTTAATTTGTACTTATTTTTGTCGTAAAAATTGGTTACTGATATAATTTAGGAGTGTCATCCTGAATAAACATTCTAATGAAGCTTACAATTAAGCATTGCGACACTCATTATTGGGAGTAACATAACCTCACTTACTATGTTTGTTTTGATTTTGCTTTCAGCTATGAGTACAACCATGCACCCCAGCCATGGATCCAACCAGAATGTACAAAATTACAATCCAAACCATCCTATGCACAACAGAAATAGAAACTTTAAGCTCCTTAGCGATCCATTTATAAACAAGGGTGGTAACAAATTGTACCGTTATGATGGTGTGCCTAATGATGCTACCCAACCTCTTGTTATTTGTCGGGATCCCCGCTCAACACTTACCAGGATATGGGCACGTCTGGATCAACTAGACATTCCTGTACCGAGGTTTAAGGTAACTTCCTCTTGAATCAAGAGCTCAATGATCTAGATCTATTATCAAGAACTGTGTTTTTAATATTGTGTTCAAATGCTATACAGTTCAGTTTATCTTACCAAGTAGGGCGGTAATTTATAAGTTTTGTTTTCAGATTGATGCTAATTATGTTGGAGACCCTCCTCCAGTGGAAATTACAATATCCAATCTAAATGACAATATTGACAAGACATTTCTTGGAGATATGGTAAAAGAAATTTTCCTTGGTCTTATGAGACTGTTAAAAAAAATTGATTTCAACATTTTTATTTTTACTCAACAATTACATTGGTTGCTATGTTATTTTACAATTATAGGTTTCAAAATTTGGTGCATTTGAGGAGCTGACCATATTCTACCACCCTGTAACAAACAAACATCTAGGATTAGCACGGGTAGTATTTGAACTTACCAAATCTGCTCGTGCTTGTGTGGATAAACTGAATGATACATCAGTCATGGGGAAGGTTTTACGCGTTTTTCTTGATCCTTTTGGTGAGAAATCTCTTCTGTAATTAATTTCCCTAGGTATTCTATATCAGAAAATAAAGACTTTAAACTAACTCATTAATTCTTAAATCAAGGGAATGAGTGCCGTACGACATATCAGACTCTTACTGAAGAAAAAAAGGAACCTCCAAAGGAGATAGAGAAAGAGAAAACTAAAGAAGATGACAAAGATGATAAAAAGTTAATTAAAAAGCCTCCCAAAGTACCCCCTGAGCATGAACCCGAACCTACTGCCAACCATAAGGTAAGACATTTAGGTTTTAAACCTTTTGTCAGTGTTTTAACTTCATATATTGTAGTGATTTCCATTTTATTTTTACCAATGATATGATTTTTATTTTTAGGCTGAGTTACACAGATATGATAGTACTCATCCAAGGTTGCATACTGATTATACGACTCCCGCAAGTGATCTTGGTTACAGAACTGGCTCAAGTGAAAATAATTCATATATTGGTAAGTCAAACTTTTTCTCGTCTCGAAACCAATCTTTTTACCTTTTTGTTTGTTGGATTAATAGTCTTCCTCTTTTCTTATCAGGTGCATCATCGGACAGAACATATAGTCAATATTCCCATTCAACTCCAGGGTCTACTTCTAATCATTCATCACAACAATATCCACCATACGATTACCACAACCATGGCAATCATGCTCACTATCAAATTAATTACCATTCTCAACCACCACCTGGTTACCCGCCAGGCCTTCCGCCTACTGCAAGCCAATGGACTCAGCACTGGCCCCCAGCGCCAAATGCAAGAGCTGTCAACTCTGCATCTATGCCTCTAACAAATGATGTTCACCAGTGGTCAGGATATCCTCCTGTTCCTGATACAAGAAATGCTCTGCCTGCCAAGGTGAGCTGCTTTACTTAAGATTTCCCATTTACTGTAACTGTTATCAAGACTTATTTCATATTGTACTTGTAGTCAAAAAGAAAAGAAAAGTCACGACGGAAAGGTGCTGATGCTAGTCCCGATGACAGTAAGTTGGATCTCGATACACGGATAGAAATGTTACTGAAAGGTGGCAAAGTAGGTGTTGCACCTGCCTTCCTTCAGTTGGGAGTAAGCTCAGATGAAGAAGAGGAGCAACATCGGAATAAAGTTGTGTCTCGGCGTTCATCAAGCTCTTCAAGGTGTGTATTATGTTCTTAACTTAACAAGTTAATTTTGACTTTCTTCTTCAAAATCTCATTAACAGTGCTAGTTTTAATTAATTAATGTACTCTTTTAGACACCGTAGACATAACAAACACAAAAGTCATGGAGTGTGTAGTGGGGAGTCTGATGTGGAAACAAGAGATGCTGAAAGATTAAATGATGATATCACAGATCTTCCTTCAGAAAAAGAACCACTCTCAACCCCCCCATCACCTTATTTGTCAGAAGAAATTTACCTGCAGTGTCATCAGGATTATATTGAGGAGGTAATTGCACTGACAAATTGCATTATCAAGGATATAACCTCAAATGATTTTTAAGTATCTGTTCTAAACTTGGAATCTACACAATTTTTCTCTTTAACAGCTTCATAGAATTAGAGAAGAAAGAATAAATCACAAAGCTTCTAAAAGCAAAAATTACAAAAACTCAGAAGTTAAGAAATCATCAGAGGAACTTCATAGTGAGATAAGTAGTAGTGAAGATGAGATTTTAACCCGTGGTACATGTAATAATGATGAGAATAGTCAGCAGTCCAGAATCCAATCATCCTCAGATGAACTTAGTCGATTAGAAGTTATACCTTCCCTGACTTTCAATAAAGTCTCTGAAGATAGTCAAAAGTCTACTCCATTGAAAGTAAGTTTAGTTTCTTCATGTTTTATTTTTCTTACTTTATCAGATTGCCATCTAATGCTTTAATTATTTCAAAATTTCTTATTTTAGGATGAGCAAAATAGTCAGGATGATGACAGAATGTCATTGTCGAGTTTAAGTTCCGGAGATGGCAAAATTAATACAGGTGACACTCCTGTGTTTACACCTCATGTTCCTCCTCCTTCTATCCCTACTCATATACCTCCTCCAACTCATTTACCCCCACCTCATTTAACATATCCACCCCCAGGCTATGCTTATGGACAGCAAGTTCCTTACTATCCCGGACAACCACCACCACCGAATCTTCCTCCAACTAATATTCCTCCTCCCTACACTGGCCCATACCCAGCCTATCCTCCACCACCATCCGGCCAAGAAGCGTCATATTACAACATGAGCTATCAGGTATTCTAGCTATTACAAGCCATGTATGTGTATATATTTTCTAAAATACCGGAACATTCATGTTTTAACCCTTTTATTTCAGAACTACCAAACTAGTGAAAACCATTTTTCAACCCATCCAAATGCATACTTACCAGGATCTCACTCTGCAGCATATGCTTATCCTGCATACCCCGGGCAGCCAGGAGTACCTGGTCAAGAAGAAGCTCAAGGGCACATAATTCAGTACGTTCTTTTACCAGTGATTAAGAATTTGCTTTATTTGTTTGTGTTGTTAACAGACTCTCTTGTCTTTTTAAGGGGTGTAATAGATAAAGTAATCGCTGAATTGAAGGCCATTTTAAAGCGAGATGTCAACAAGAAAATGATAGAGAACACTGCGTTTAAATCCTTTGAAACCTGGTGGGATCAAGAAGAAAACAAAGCCAAGGTAATTGGAAAGAAAAAAAATGTTTCTCTAAATTTAAATAACCGGATTTTGGAAAACTTGGAAAGGTGTGTTTTTAACATCTTATATTATGTCTGTACGCTTCTGTATTCTAGGCGCCATCAGCTGAGGTTCCAGTTGAACCAGGAAGTGCAGAAAAGGTCTCTAAACCTGCTCCTAGCCGTGAACCTTTGGAAACAGGAGGCTTAACTGGTTTTGGATTGGGCTTTAGGGCAGCCATTCCTAAGATGCCATCATTTAGAGTAAGTATAGTTCTGAATATTGCACTTTTTTATTTTGTGAGTTTTATGATATTTGAATCTAATCTAAGCTTTACTTTTCTGTAGCGGAAACGTAAATTACCTTCACCTACTCTTGATGAAGATGGTTCATCTAGACCTGGTGCTCTGAGTGATCAAGAGGAAATGGTCAGGCAATCTGACTCTGAGGTAAAAGAAAAGAAATAAAAAAAATTCATGCTTCTGTTTATTTCTTTGATTGTCATTTCTCAGTTTTGGTGTTCTTATCCTTTTCAGGCAGAAACTTCTGGTACAAAACACCGACGTGAGCGGCGACGTCGGCGAATTATATCTGATAATGATGAATCTTCCACTGTCAAACGATCATCATCGTCATCATCATCATCTTCTTCCTCTTCTTCCTCATCATCATCTTCATCCTCATCCTCATCATCAGCTTCTAGTAGTCGATCAGCAAGTCCTAGTCTCAAATCTATTTCTAGTGCTAGTAATCTTAGTTTGCCATCATCAGGCAGTGGCTCTGAGAGTGGTGATGATGAAGAAGCACACAGTGCCACAACTGCTTCTGCAAAGGAGCGTCTTGCTGAGAAATTAGCTCTTTTGGATCTGGAAGAACTTGAACTTCTTAGGACTTTCAGGTGGGCAATGTTTCCTTTTTTGAATATGTTTTGAGTCTTATCAAAATATTTCTAGTTAGAAAACCTACCTAAAATTATTATTCTTCTACAGAGAAAGAACACCAGTGGGCAGTTGCACGCCTCTCCCTGATGATACTGAGAGTTCCGATGGAGAGATACTATATAGCAAATTTGGCTCATTTGACACTTCTCTCCATGATGAATCAACTGATGATGCCTCTGAAACTGAAGAAGCTATGGCCTCCTTAGCTAACAACAAAACACCAACTCAACCAGGTTCTTCACTGACAGCATCTCATGCTAGTGCAACTAAGAGTGCAGCAAGTATAGATTCAAGTGCTACTTTGACCGCCTCTCCCAGCTTCGGTTCTCCAGCATCCCAAGACAGGTCTCCTCAGCATCTTGCAGATGTCAGCAAGTAAGTGTTTCTGTTCAAACATGCTCCACCTCCACCTAACTTTACCCTTATTCCTCATGAGAATGTGGTCTTTAATAAAATCTTTTGTTACAGGTCTGATTCCTTTGCAATTGAAGCACTTATGGCCCTTGCTGGGGCAAACCAAAAGAGCACTTTAAAAACAGGCCCAGAGATTGTGTCTGGCATTCGTAAGCTAGAGAAGTCAAGTGATGATGACAAGTATGGAACTCTTTCTCATAGCAGTATCTCAAAATACAGTTCATTCTGTTGTAATCACACCTATTTTACCTTTACCTTGCAGGAGATTTGCTTCTTCGGTCAATGGTTTGACATCATCCATACCTAAAAGTATTGCAAGAAACAAAAAGGGCCAGATGCCACTGGACGAAGTTGTTAACAAGTGGGAAAGTGCACATGATGATAACAAAAGATATGCTTCAGATAATTATGAAAGAGACCACGATCAATATGGTAATCTCTCGCCGGCTCATCAAACCCTAATTACTCTTGAACATTCATATTCTTTACCACCTGAAAGAGACCCTGCCAGTCCCCCTCCACATACTGACCCTCATTCTCGCAAGCTTTTCAATCATGATCATGGGTATGTTGGCACAAAGAAAAGTCTTATTTTATGTGTTGTATTCTTTGTAAAATTATGATTATTCATGCCATTTTCTAGATATACTGCACGAAGCACAGCACCAAACAAACCTCTTGCACCATTGGTGGATGATAACTATTACAAGGAGCCCAAGAAAACTTCACCAAAGAAGCCTCAAAGAAGAGCTGAGATTGACAAACTTTTGCAAGCTAACAATTTGTTTAGGTAAGTGGGATTAGAGAATTTTACCCATGCCCATGCCTAATACCTGAGATTGTTACCATTCAAAGTGCCACAATCAAATTTTAAAACCATTACTTTTTGTTAGTTAAAAAATAAAATTTATTTTCACAGGGCTCCTGTTGTTGTCAAAGAAAAGCCAGTGGTATTCTCTGAGCGCTCAACAATGCAGGAAATGCAGGTCCTGTATGAATTCTTGACACGGGGTGTCGATCCAGAAGATATAAATTATCTGAAGAGGAGTTATGATACAATGCTTGCCAGTGACGCTGCTGGATACTGGCTCAATGATACACATTGGGTCGATCATTGTCATATCCTTTACATGCTTAATTTACCTGGCATTTCCTTTGTTGTATTTTTATGTGTTTCAAAACTTTGATGCTCATGTGTTTCATTTTTTTTCTAATCTTTACAAATTCTGTCTTGTTTATTTATCCTTAATTCCATTGCACATACTGACCTGTCATCCTCGCCTCCCAAGAAACGAAAACGAGATGAGCTTCGATTACATGCTACAGGCAGTGCAAGAACTGAAGGTTATTACAAACTAGATGTAAAGGATAAGATGAAGTACAAGGTAAGCTGATACTTTTTAACTATCCATTTACCTCACTCCTTTGGATTTTCTCAGCAATTAAATCTAATCTAGTTATTTATTTTTTGGTTCTCCAGTATCATTTTGCACAGTCAGTGCAAACAACTACGGTGGCTGTTGAAGACCCCTCCAAGAATATTACTGGTAAAATGCAATCATTATCTAGAGAGGCAAGAAATAATCAGCGAAGATTACTCACCGCGTTTGGTCAGGTCACTGATAGTGACTTGCTGAAATTCAACCAGTTGAAGGTATTATAAACAGTGTATGATCTTATATGTTTTCCACGTGTTACGTGATTAATTTTGGTTGATCCACCTGTTTTACAGTTCCGCAAGAAGCAGTTGAGATTTGCAAAATCTGGAATTCACGACTGGGGCTTGTTTGCTATGGAGCCAATTGCTGCAGATGAAATGGTTATTGAATATGTAGGACAAATGGTTCGACCTGTAGTGGCAGATAACAGAGAACGCCAGTATGAGGCAACTGGTATTGGATCATCATATTTGTTCCGTATTGATTTAGAGACAATTATTGATGCCACAAAGTGTGGAAATCTTGCTCGCTTTATCAACCATAGCTGTAATGTAAGTATACTTTATACTGGGTACTGTGTTATTGTTGATTTTGTTTTATCATCTTGTTTGCTACATTAAATTACTGTTACATATTCATTACAGCCCAACTGCTATGCTAAAATTATTACAATTGAAAGTCAGAAGAAGATTGTCATTTATTCCAAACAACCTATTGGTGTCAATGAAGAAATTACTTATGATTACAAGTTTCCTTTGGAAGATGAGAAAATTCCATGTCTCTGTGGAGCCCCACAATGTAGAGGAACACTTAATTAGCAAAGGAAGCAAATTTGTATCCTCTTTTCCACCAATGTCATTCCTTGGTTATCTTTTCTCATTAATTGGGGATGATTTCATTTACCTTAGTTTTTTAAATCTCTCAAACATAGCTCGAAATGTGCCTGCAACAGTTGCCTATCTACAAAGTGTGTCGTCACTTCCCTTCTCTGCCTCTCACCTATCAACCACAGATGAGAGGAGGTGAAAATTTACTTTGTAAATAGACTGCTGTAGCAGATAAATCTTCCCCATGCAATGGGCTTGTTCTTTACTTTCTATATGCAGTGTATGATGTAACCTCTGCAGCTGTGAACTGTTAGTATCTTGTTAGTGAATGCTTTAACATGGCAAGTTGTGTTTTGCTTGTTTAGGTTTGTGTGAAATTATTCTCCAAATTTGCGTTGTAATTTTGTGGTAGGATACGGTAGGTAGTTTATTGTGTCAGCAAGTCTGTGATATTTCCTAAATAGTTGCATCAAGAGTAGTGATCAAATGCAACATTTTAAATAATCTTAGTGAAGTGTATGTCAGCTTACCCAATTTCCTTAGAAGTTTTCCCTGGTAATGTGTGTTGTGTAAAATATTTTGTTGTCCTTTTCTTTTCTGTTTGTTTTTGTTTTGATGTAATTATAAATCAATCTTTCTGATGACTTTTACTTACTTTGACTCAGGATGTTATTCAGTTTACAATTCAACTAGGTATGTATTGTTATCATTTATTTTTGGCATTACCGCATAAATCAAATAAGTTGTGTGAGTCATTCGCACCCTATTTATTATTATTAAAATCCATTGGTAACTTCAATTCTGCTTGCCTGTATACGTGATCATATCATATATGTAAACAAGTCAGCATTTAGATGTGAATGGAAGTGTTCAAATGCCCAATCATTTTAGTGAACATGATGGATGTTTAGTGTGCCATTGAAAATTCCTGCTTACTAATCAGTTACACTCATATGAATGTGTGTGCCTTTATTAGGCTAGCATTTTAAAAATGCAATCATTTGAAAAGATTGACCTGTATTTAACTATGTTTTTGTCTGCTTTGTTATCTGTTGATGCCCTTTGCCCTGCAAGATGCGTCCAGTTTTTGGCAAGGACAGTCAAATTCTGTGATATTTCTGTGTGACTTTGTTGTTTAGTAATGTAGATTTCATCATTGACTTAGTACTTTTGTTATGAACCTGCAGCAAAGTTGTCTACTCTTTGGATCTCCAATACTTGTTGTACTAGTAACCTTTTTCTCTTTTCATCATATACTGTTGTTTGACAGTGTAAATGTTCCCAGGGTTTTCAAATGCCTTTTTTATACTTGTTATCAGTTGATAAATATGCCCTCACTATTTAAATCTATTGTTATCAAAAATATTTCATGAACACTTTTTTAGAAGTATGAAGCATTCTAATGTTCATGTAAATTCTGTTTAGTTAAACTTATTGGAACTCTCAGTAATTATCTCAAATTATTAAAAAAAAAAGATATTTTAATAATCGACAAGTGACTTCAGTATATGCCTTGCACTGGTGATATATGTACTCTCTTTTGTCATAAGCTTTTCATTGTATTGTTTATCGAGTTTACACCATTAGCTTCCATAACGCAGTATTAAATTAAGTTGTGCTACACAAAGACTGGACTGCCAACAAAATCACAATTTCTTCAATCCATGGATAGTTCTACACAGATGTTTTGAGATCATTGTTCTTCCACTAGGACTAATTGCTCAGGGTCAAGTTTTGTTTTAATAGATAACAAAATGTGGATTAAGTCATCTCTTTTGGAGTTTCTCATGCATTGTGCAAAGGAGCTCATGAATGACAAACATCATTAGAGACTTGTAATACCTTATAATATCCTTCATTTAATCTGTTATTGTCTTAGTTCTCTTACCCTTGCTGAGATTTAGAGAAGCGTTTATGAAATTTTTAGTATTTACAATGCGATTAAAGCGTGGAGGATATTGTTATGAATTAATTTATTGTTTAAAGAACGTAAGTCTGCTACTTTGAGTCTGGTGTAATTGATTGAGAACAGCTTCATGAACTGTTTTCTTTCATAATAATTTGTATGAATTATTGTACAGTAAATTTAAATTAGTTTTTCAATTAAATACCTACTGTTTTTATACTGTCATCTACCAATCTAAGTCTGTACATTTCAGCATGAGTTGTGTATATATATATTTTTTGTTCTCCCTTCATAAGGGAAAATGAAAATTAAAATGGAAATATGAGACAATTTTTTTCTCAACTTTTGAAATATTTACTGTATGAATCAAGCACCTTTCACCCTTATTCATGCAAGACAAGTACAAAATATTCACATATTATCAAAGAGAGGACTCTCGTAATTCTAGTCTTATTTGAATGAGACTGCAAATTGAGACCTGGTTTCTTGAACTTTCAATCACAACATTCCACAATCATAACAGAAATTCAGAATCCAGTATTTAATGCTGGTTTACTGTCAGGCATATTGCTATTGCTATTCACAAATGGGTAACTATTATTCGAAGGTAGACTGATTTCCTGACCAATACCATTCCCATTGGATATGTGTGATGGTGATGAATGTTGCATATCAAGCTGACTCTGAGCTATATCAGCTAAAGCACTTTGAATCTGACTCAGAAGCACTTCTCCACGAGCTACAACGTCTTCTAACCTTTCACCAGCCTTTTGACTTTCTTGTTCTAGCTGACGTAAGCTTGCTACCTGGGAGGTAAGAAAATTACACAATGTGTAACCTTAAAATGAATGCACGCACAACATAAGCTTTTACAAAGTAAATCAAACTTAATTTACCTGAAGTTCCGTAGATGAATCTTCATTAGGCAATGATTCTATGAGAACGTCTATATCCTTGGCACACCTTGCAATTAATGTGGCAAATAAATGGGCATAATCTGTGACTGAAAAAGTGAAAGTTCACACAGATAAATAATTATTAGAACTGCTGACGAGTTAAACTCATAAAAACAAGAGTTTTACCTTCTTGCTGTTGCTGAGGTGTTTGTGATCCACTACGGTCAAAGCCAGGGAATTTACTAGGTGTGGAGAACTGTTGCAGGATTCCGATGCTGTTGCAAAAATTATCAGCTTGCTAACACAAAATGTAAAAACAAAACAGATTAAGTTTTTTTTTATATTTTACTTTAAAGGAAAATGGTCAAAAGAAAAAGTATAACCCAATTTAATACATCATAAGAAATTCCACAAGACACAAGTTAGTGGCACCTGGTTTATTGTATCTTGGAGTTGAGTAAGTCTGTCAGCCATAATGCTAGCGAGAGTTTAGATCAAGAAATAATGAAAGATCGTAAATCCAATACGATTCCGCCAACTTTAATCGCGTCGTTTGGAATCTACAGAACGCAAACCAAATATTATGGGCAACTGTCAACTATTTGACAGACGAAACTACAAACGCAATATTAATGTAAATCTAAAGCCAAATTTATGTCATGATCATGTATGAAAAATTTGATGAGAAAATAAAGCGGCATGCGGCTTGTGACGTCACGCCACTGTGGTGGGGTGTTTGGTTGGTGTTGGGGGTTTGTGTATGTGTTGACGTTGACGTGGGTCCCAACAGCATTTCAACCAAATCTGAGAGACCAATTACAAATCTATGTGAACGTGGCATTTGGTGCTGTTCAGCGAAATAAACTTTCGCAAATATGATGTTCCTGGGCTTCAATTTATTGTATTTTCTTTCACACTTGGCAATTCTTTTAGTAATACTCTTCATTGTGGTTAGTATAATTGGTTATTTTGACTGCTTTTTCACACAAATCTCGACAACCATTGAGTACAACAGTCTTTTTTCAGAAATTTGTTCTATCAATAATGATTCTTTTTCTTTTCGACAGCTGTGTGTTGTACTGTTGTATATTACGAAGCCATATCCTGAAGTGTTCCGATCAGATGCAGAGAAATATTTTAAAACAATGGATGGTAGAGAACCTTTCCCATCACTTGCTGAGAAGTCTAGTATTCATTTGAGTGTTGTTGTCCCAGCATATGATGAAGAAAAGAGATGTATGATAATGCCCTCATCATGGATTCCTTCAGTTTAGGTATCTGTTACATATTTCTTGGACTTATTTGTTTTTCATTTATCTGTGCAGTACCACCAATGCTGGATGAATGCTTGGAGTTTTTAGAAAACCGTAGACTTAAGACAAAATCCTTTGCATATGAGGTCATTATTGTTAGTGATGGCAGTAAAGATAGGACGGTTGAAGTAGCTTCAAAATACTCGTCCAAATATGGGTCCAACATTGTGCGTGTGCTTGATCTTCAACCAAATCGGGGAAAAGGTGGAGCTGTGAGACTTGTAAGTTTTTTTGTTTTTTCTTTTCAGTGAAATCTCATATTTTTAGCTTGGTTGACTTTCCATACGCTTACTCTTAACACAATTTGTTCATTTTCCAAGGGGATGCAGTCTGCCCGAGGTGCTGTGATTTTATTTGCTGATGCCGATGGTGCCACCAAGTTCTCTGATTTAATCAAGCTTGAAGATGAGTTGCAGAAACTTCTTGGAGGTATACTTTACGATGAGTTACTCTTCTTTTAATGTAAAACCTTGGAATAATTACTTAATTTTAAATTGCATCCAATTGCAGTTGATTACCTTACATCACCTGAAAAAGTTGCTGTAAAGGATGCCATTGTGTGCGGATCAAGAGCCCATTTAGAAGATGAGGCTGTTGCTTCGCGGTCCATGTTTCGTACTTTCTTAATGTATGGCTTCCATATGCTTGTGTGGTTGTTGACTGTGAGGGGCATTAGGGACACTCAATGTGGCTTTAAGCTGTTGACAAGGTCAGCTGCCTCTACGTGTTTCCGTAGTTTGCATGTTGAGCGCTGGTAAGTTCCACACAAAATCATTTCTTAATCACATGAATATTTATTGAATGTGTCTCCTCATAAGATATCTTATTTTTCATTTGCAGGGCATTTGATGTAGAGCTTTTATACATAGCTCAAAAGTTACGTTTCCCAATAGGTGAAATAGCTGTTAACTGGACAGAAATTGAAGGTGAACATCCATATCCATTATTATACTTGCTCTTCAATGAAAAACATTGTTAGTTATTTTTTTTTCCTTTCAGGTTCAAAAGTTGTTCCCGTCTGGAGCTGGCTTCAGATGGGACGTGATTTGTTTCTCATTTGGTTAAGGTATCAAATTGGAGCCTGGAAGCTAAAAGCTGATTAATCCCTAAAATATTACATCATTTGCTAAAATGTTTTCTTTTTCTTAAATCAAACTAATCGTAGCAGTGCATATTTGGAATTTGAGAGATTTGAAAACGGAAAAAGAACTGGATTTCACCAAGAAATATGTTTTTATACCAGATGTATACCATGAGACCTGTTTTTTTCTCTTGTGGATTGGCTATCGAAGCCCTTTACTGCACTGAGTGCAGGGCCTGAAATGAGGTGTCTCGTCACACTTCAACTTGCATTAAACAGTGAAAGTGGCTGCCTACCAGAGGAATTAACATAAATTAACTTTCCTTGGCTGTCACCTGGTCAGATCTAAATGCAGTTAGTTTAAAGTGAGATTAAATCCAATATTTGTGGAATTTGTTTACTCTATTTTGTTATTAATGTAGTGTGTTTCAGTTTTCTGTGAAAACACAGTATTCACTCACAACTTGGTGAGGTATTTGTATTATTTGATAGCTGTCAAGTAGCCCAATAATATGCATATCCTTG